TCTGAAACTCCGTACACATTAAACACTAACTCTCCATTCCTCCCCCTGCCCTACCCTCCACTCAGCCCCTGGCAACTACCATTCTACTTTTTGTCTCTATGAATTTTACTATTCTAGGTACCTCCTATAAATGGAATATACAGTAGTTGTTTTTTGTTAGTTTGTTTTTGTAACTAGCTTATTTCACTTAGCACAATGTCTTTCAGATTCAACCATGGTGTAGCATGTGGCAGGACTTCCTTCTTGTTCAGATTGAATAATATCCCATTGTATGTACAACATTTTGTTGATCCATTCATCCATCAGTAGACATTGGGATGGCTTCCACCTTTTGGCTACCATGAATAATGCTACTATGAACATAGGTGTACAAACATCTGTTTGAGTTCTTGTTTTTGCTTCTTTTGGGTATATACCCAGAAGCGGAATTGCTGGATCAAGTGGTAATTCAATGTTTAATTTTTTGGGGAATGACCATACCATTTTCCACAGTGACTGCATCATTTTATATTTCCACCAGCATGCAATGCACAAGGGTTCCAATTTTTCCACATCTTCACCAACGCTTGTTATTTTCTGTTATTTTGATAATAGCCATCCTAATGGGTATGAAGTGGTTCAATGTGTATGCTTTTTAAAAATATATGTTTTTATTGATTTTAGAGATAGAGAAACATAGATGTGAGAGAGAAACATCGATTGGTTGTCTCCCATATGTGCCCCGACAGGGAACCCAGCCCACAATCTAGGCATGTGCCCTGACTAGGACTCGAACCAGTGACCTTTTGGTACATGGGACAACACCCAACCAACTGAGTCACACTGGCCAGGGCATCAATATGTATGTTTTCATTCGTATGCCTTGTTTCAAAATGCATACAGTTGTTTCATATGCATGTAATTTTTACATAAGTATTGTTATTTACTTCATTCTCTGTGTTACTATTTTCACTTGAAACTGTTTTTAAGATCCACCCATTTGTTTTGTATACACAGAACTCATTGCTTCTAACTTCTGTATGGTACTCTATGGTGAGCATCAACCTATCCATGTATACTGAAAACATACTATGAGCTTGTGGCAAGCTCTCCCTGTGGGTTATTAGATGTCTTACAGCAACCCTAAGAGGTAGGCATTACTATTATTCCCATTACAGGAGTGAAGAAACTGACACAGAGAGTTAAGGGATTTGCCCCAAGTCACACTGCTGGAAGTGGTAGAGCTAGAAATTGAACTCAGATCTGTCTGGTGCCCAGGGAGGGTTCACATGTGTAAGGTGTTCCAAAGAGCTATAGAAAAAGGTCTGAGGCTCTCTCTCAGGTGAGGGCACTCTGATGAGAGCTCTAGTCCTGACTACATCCTGGCTCATCTCCAAACTGCAAACCACCTCCCTTCATCAGATGGCACTTTATATCTGTGGCAAACGAAGACAAAACCATTTTAATGCCCTTTCTAGATTTACCTCACATTGATGAAACACCTTTAGCTTAAGGAAAATAATTGGAATTGAAATCACGTGTTTGTTTCCTTCCTCTGTTCCACTTGTAGCCACTCCAAACACATGCAAATCCTTTGACACTTCACTTACAGAGCTCCTCCCTGATAGGACTAACTATTCTCAGGGAAACAGAGTCGCTGCCCCTGGTCCCACTGCACCTCTCTTGAACTTTGCACTTACCATGATGAAAAGTTAACTGGGCTAACGTTTCCCTTCTAAGGACAACCTCTATAAAAGCTGACCTGGGTGGGCCCCAAAAACCAAGCACCAGAACAGAGTTCTTGTCCATCTGGAGCTGCCCACCCATTCATCACCCAAGTCAAGGGAGCAAGCATGCAGGATCCTCTTGGCACCCGGAGGAATCCATTCCTCAGTCCCCCTCACTGCTTTGTGAAACTGAGCTTATTCCCCAGTGGAGAAACTGAGGCTCAAGGAGAAAGAACTAGCACAGAAATGGCACCGGTTGGACTCACACGTGGGTCTGGTAGCACTGTTTTTCTGCACACACAGCTGTCCCTTTCACACGGATGCCAGCATGCGAAGGAAGTTCAGGAAAGCATGGTTAGTCACATTAGCTGCTGACTAGTTATTTCCTCCTCTCAGGAAAATGAGAGGGCTAAATGAGGGGCCCTTCCAATGTCATGACTTCGGAGGGTTAGGTACATGCCAGCTCCATCCGCTTACGTTTAATCCCCAGATCTCTTAGGCTTCTTACCTCCACAGTGCAAATTGCATCCCTTGACCAGACATCTGCCTGTTTAATATGAGGGGCATGTACTGGAGAAGAACAATTTTAATGCTCTTTCTAGATTCACTCCTCTGCACAATAAGAATCATTTACCCCAGTCTTAGAGCTGAGAGAACACATGTGCAGTGGGGTGAAGGGAGGGAGAAAGCCAGGATCGAAAGACACATCAGGCATTGATCGAGCTTGAGGTCCTTTCACTGACCACCTCCCAACAGTGGGACCTGCTTGCTTGGGTTACAATTAATGTTTCACTTGGAGATGATGACTGCAAGGGCCCCTTTCTCCCAGGCACAGCTTCTCTAGGCTGTGAGCTCCTGGAGGTTAGGGACCTTCATTTTTCATTTCAGTGGTCCCAGAATCGAGTGGGTGTCTAACTGAACTGAGCTCTTTCATCAGGACCACTCTTCATGGACTTTGCAGTGGCCCCAAGGTGTGGTTTTCTTGCTTTACAACATCTGACTGTTTGCAAACCTTTTCACATTAGATCCTCACAACCATTTCACAGGTGAGCAAACAGTTCTTGTAGTGTCACAATGGCATGCCTGTGTAAAGAACTTCTGTTTTGCAGAGTTCTATCAGTGATGTCACCTTTACCTTCCACAACTGTAAGGATGGGTGCAGTGGCAAGAATGTGGACTGAGGCCTCACAAAACATTGGGTTCAGATCCCATCTCTGCTGCTTGGAACCCTATTGTAATCTCTGTAAATACGAGGCATAGGGACATCTACCAGGGCCATTGTGAAGATTAAATCAGAGGGCAGCACTTGGGCTGCCTGGAATGAAGAAAGCCATTAATCTGTTGATTGTCTTCCTTCCTTTGCTTTTGTGTTGAGGGCTGGGAAGAAGGGAGGCTACAGTGGCGGTGGGTTAGCCAGAGGACTAGCCAGGAACGGGAACCAGATCCTTAAGCCCCAGCTGGGGTTCAGGGATTCTCCTTTAAAGACCATGCAGGCAGCGACTTAGAAGGAGAGGAGGGCGAAGAGTCAGTGCTCAGCAGCAGCAGCAGCTGACTGACTTGCTTGTCTCTCGGACCAGGCAGGGACCCCAACCGTTTCTGGGCTGACTTGTGGATTCAGACCTACCTCTCAGGGCTTTGTATCTCCCGTGCTTGAAGGTTTGCAGATAACTTCTTACACACAAGGGGGTTTCCCGCTGTTAAAAACAAACAAAGGCCTTAGACACCAGGCTACAGGCCTGGGAGGGGAGGGGCAGCAGGAGAAAGGCCCTGGGGCGCAGAGTAACTCACTCCTGAAAGCGGTGGAAGGCTTTGTGGCCAAATGCCTCTCAATTCTGCTGGTGCCGAGAAAATCCCCGAGCTCCCCAAACCCCGGGGTTTCCTTGCTTCCCAAGGCTGACTTTTGAATACATAAATTACTCGAGTACTTCCCTTTTGCCCCACTGTGAGTTCACAGCTTTGGGAACAAAGCTCTCCTATTTATTGGGTGTCGAATTTCGAATCTTTCTGTATCATAAGATTCCAAACACCCTGTAATGTAATTGCTTCCCAGAGACAAATTCTAAAGCGCCCCCATTCATTCCTTCACGAACTCAACAGATATCTTTGAAGCCTATTTTCCACCGGGCACTCATTCACAAGGCCCAAGGGACCCCTGGCTTCAGCTATTATCCAGGGAATCACTGAGGTTCCCAAATGTCCACTTTTGAGAGCCCACTTCTCCCAGCTCCCAACTCCCTCCTTCGCATACAGTCTCGGGGCATTCGGTCGACGTGATCTCAGCGATGAGATAGAATAAATACAGCTCCCAGGTCGCTGGTGCCCCCCAAGGCCCCTGACCGCGATCAGGGCGCGCGAGTCCAAGCGTGCGCCCCCACTTCCTGGGCCTCAGCCTTCGGTGCGCCCCCTCTCCGACCGGGGTCCTCCCAGGGGTGTACCAGCAGCTTCTGGCAGGACAGCGCTCATTCGCTGCGAATCTAACCCTTTTGGGCCCGCAACTCAAACTGAGCTTTCTGAGTGGGTTCCGCGCCAGGGGCCCCTCTCTCCTCTCCTTTCCCACGACTTCCTCCCAGTGCCCGCCCGCCTCAGGTCGGGGCCGCGCGGGGTCCTGCGCGCTCCACCCGGGGCCGCTGCCGTTCCCGGTCGCCCACGTGGGCGTGCTCCGCGCCGGGCGGAGGAGGCCGGGCGCCCTCCCGGAGGCTGGGGGTGGGCAGGGCGCCCGCGGGAGGAGGTGGAGGGGCGCGGGGGAGGAGGCGGGGAGCCCCGGCGGCAAGGGGGCGGTGACAGCGCTTGGAAAGGAGGCTGCACACGGATTTGCATGAAACACAGACTGGGAGCGGGCGGGAGCGGGAGCGGGAGCGGGAGCGGGAGCGCGGCGCACGGCCCAGACCGGCCCAGGGAGCGAGAGCGAGCGGTGAGAGAGGAGGGCAGCCGGGAGGCGAGGCGAGGCTGCCTAAGCGGAGGGATCTGCGCATCAAAGCGGTCGAGGCGAGCAAAGTTTGGCTGGGGGTTGGACTTTCCTTCCTGGAGGCGGCACCCAAACAGCCATCCCGTGCGGAAACCTAAACTTTCTTCTGCCACTCCGAGGCTCACGGCCGCCGCCGCCGCCCCGTGTTCGGGGCCTGCCTGACCCGGCGCCGTTGTCGTCCTGCCCGCCTCTCCTGCGGCCCTTCTCTCTGCCGTGGGAGCCCCGCAGGCTGCAGCGCCGCGGCCCGGCCGGGAGCACGGGCAAGTTCGCCGTGAGTTGAGGCGAGAAGTTTGGGCGGCCCCGGCCCAACTCCCTTCTGCGCCCCCGGCGCCCCGCCGCGCCCAGCCCCGCCGGGGGCGCCCCTCGGCGCCCGCGCGCCCTCCCCAGCCATGTCGTCTATCCTGCCCTTCACCCCCCCGATCGTGAAGCGCCTGCTGGGCTGGAAGAAGGGCGAGCAAAACGGGCAGGAGGAGAAGTGGTGCGAGAAAGCGGTCAAGAGTTTGGTCAAGAAGCTCAAGAAGACGGGGCAGCTGGACGAGCTGGAGAAGGCCATCACCACGCAGAACGTCAACACCAAGTGCATCACCATCCCCAGGTGGGGGCCCGAGCGACCCGGGGGCGCGCCGGCCCAGCCCCCTGGCGCGGCCTGCGGTGGGGTGGGTCGGAGGGAGAGTGTGTGTGTGTGTGTGTGTGTGTGTGTGTGTGTGTGTGTGGAGGGGGTGGGAACGCAGGCAGAAAGGGAACCCCAAACAAAACCTTCTCTGGATTTGCAAAGATTCAGAGCCTGGGGCTTCCACGCGGCACTCTCACTTCCAGACCTCACATTCACTTTTCACCTCCCGGAAGGGGGGTGGTGCTGCTGGAATTGGCCTCCCCCACTCCGGGGAGCTGCGGGCTCAAAGTTGAGGCCCGCTTTGTTCAGCTCTGCTGGCCGGAGCCCCTCCTCCGTCGCGGCCTCCCGCCCCCGCGGCCCGCGCTCGTGGAGGTGGTGGTGGTGTTTCTCCCTTTCTTCAGCCCTGCCCCCCCACCCCGTCTTTCCTCCTGAACAGGAATGCAGTCGGTACAGCTGGGGCTGTGGGTGCGGAGCGGGAGCCCCGTGATTGACAGATTCCTTCTCCGTTCTCTCTTTGCCTTCGGGATTAGCATTTTTATCGAGTATTTTTAGACTCGGTTGTGCCAGTCTCCCGCCCCCCTCCGCACACACTCACTCTGGTTGCAGTGCACTGCTCTGACTTTCAAATGAGAGACAAGTGGCAGAGAGTAGGGTTCCCCCCTCCCCCCGACCAATTTTTGCCCTCTTTCAGTCTGAAATTTCAGGTTGGGGCAGAACAGAGGGGGCTTAGAGCCCACCAGATAACAAAACACACCCCAGAGTGGGCCTCGCACTGGCCCCCGCATTCCTGCAGAGCCCTCCTTCCCAAAGCGCTTTGCCATCTGTCTGGACGTCCTTTATAATCCACGTCCCGTGCCAGCTAGGTCGGGGGGAGCTCACAGATGGCTGATAGAGGGGGTCAGTGACTTCTCCCCAGGACCTTATAGTAGTAGCTGTGCCTCACTAGAAATTGGGGTTTGCGGGGGTACCATGGCTTCCTGTCTTTCTTTCTCAGCCCCCTCTAAAGTCTAACTGTACCAAGGGAGTGTGCGTGTGCCAGTGTGTGTGTGTCCCTGGGGTTCCAGGCTGCAGAGGAATGAGTAGAGGGTCCCTAGGGCTTGAGCCCCACAGAGATTGTCATCCTTGCTCTTGGGCCAGGAGTGGACTCCATCCTTGGCCACCTGCTTGGAGCAGCTGCACAAGGGCTGCCAGCCGTGTCAGACAGGCACAAAGCAACATCTGTCCAGGGAACCCAGGGCAGGCCTCCTCTGGAAATAAATGCCACATATGGTGGGAGCGCTGACTTAAAAAATAATAATTTTTTTAAAAACTGGGTGGATCCAGTCAATAAAGGGGGAGGGAAGGCGGTATGCTGTCTGGGAAGTGCGCTCTGGGTGTGTGATCTGGAGCCAGAACTGACTTCAGAGGAGGTGGTGTGATGTGATGGTCAGTGAGCCCAGGGTTCTGGTCCCAACTCTGGTTCTTAATTCTTCTTTATTCTTTGAGTGGGGTGGGGGTGGGGTGGGTGGGAGGGTGAATGAGTGTCCTGCTTCTCCCACCGGGGGAGGAGTTTTTGGAAACCTGCCTTTTTAGCTGCCCAGGTGCATTGAGGACAAGTGCTTTATGCCTTGAAACAGAAAAAAAAAAAAAAATGATATCAGTTATAAAATGAGTAGCTGTGTAAAGTGTTTTACAGTTTTTGGAGCATTTGCACATGGTTTTATGAAATCAAGAAAAGAAAGTAACTCCTGGAAAACTGATAAGGCAGTTAGGCTTAAGATTATCTCATTTTTAAAGTTGAGCAAACTTTGGAGCGGAGAGGTGAAAAGGCTGGCTAGAGTAGACGTGGGATTCCGACCCAGTGTGCTCCTTTTTCTGCCTCCTGCTGCTGTTTGCTTTGAAGGTTCTGAATACATTTTTGTGTTGAATGCTAAAGTACTGTTGACTGGGGCTGGGCAGGGGGTGGAGGGCAGTGTAGATCTTTGTTGGTAAGGTACAGCTGGGCAGAGAGGCCTGGTTTGCTTGCCCTGCCTTGGTAAAAGCTTGCCCTCTGGGGGAACATAGCTTTGGCCTGCTTTGTCCTCTTCCAGAGTTCTCTGCAGCCTGAGGTATATGAAGCTTTGAATGTTTTGAGAGGTCAAGTTAACTTGCTCCCTGGTCTCTCACCACTGTCTTAGGACTGGGACATCTTCTACCTGCATGGCAAGGGTCTACTGATAAGGCAGGTTTTCTTGTTTGGTATTTTGTTTGTTTGTTTTTTCATCTTTTCTCAGTTAGGGAAACTCAGTTGCTTGGGTGGATCCAGACAAAATGGATTTTCATCCCTGGATTTTGTGCCCACGCCTCTGGGTCACCTTGTCTCCCTTGGCAACGCTGCTGCTGTTTTGGTTGTGGGCAGACAACTAAAGGCCAAGTCTTGGGGACGTGGTTTAGCTGGCCTCACGCTAGTAATATCGAAGTGTCTGCTAAGCCCCGTAGGTTGTTGTGTTGCTTGTCAAATTGTCTGCTCCCTCCACACTGCCTTTTATAAGTTGTCCTATGGTGTGTGAGTGGGGCACTGGGTGCTTAACAGTTCTCTGTGAAATCTGGACCTTGAGGTTTAAGAAGCCCTTAGTCCCAGGAGATTTTGACAAGCGTGTTTTGGCTAATATGTAACTATGAGCAGCAACAGTAACATTTGGCAATTATAGCTGTACATTAGGGCCTTCCAGACCGCATGCTTGCCTTTCTGTTACAACAGCTATAACCTGTCTCCGTAATCCGAAGAGCTGGAGCGATACAGGCTTATTGATATCAAGAACATAAAAGAGACCAGTGCCAAGGATGTGGTGAGAGCTTGACTGAGATACACCTACACAGGGACTATCGGATACACTGTCTGGCAGGATGGGCAGAACATAGACATTTGTATAACAGCATCTCGCTCCTCACCCAAGTCAAGCTGCTGGCATCTTCCTGGCAGCTTAGAAGAATGGAGTCATAGCATTGGCCGCTAAGGGGTACAGAAGGTGTGTGCGTGTTATTTCAGCGGTCAGGAGCCAGGCGCTTAAATGACCGTTCTCATGGACTCTGATAACTGCCTCTACTGATAGGGTTCATGCGTTGGTATAGTTGTTGGGACCAAGCTTATGGCCTGCTTTGTTTGGAAGGGAAATGGGGCTTTCTTGTGTCACAGAGGAAAATGGGGGACTTTTCCCCACACACAGCAATTCCTACTCTTGTGCGTCTCTTTCAGCGCAGCCCCTCCCATTACCTACCTGAACTTTGCCAGGCTGCTCTCGCCCCAGGGAAAAGGGAGAAAGAAAGATCCTCATCATTAACACTCCTTTCTGAGGCTGCTGGGGACAAACCTGTTGCCAAGGCTGCTTGTTAACCTTGATTAGGAGGGTTGCTCACAGGGGCTGGGAAGAGAAGGGGCCCACAGGACAAAGAGTAGCTGACGAGGAGGCTGGCTCGGAGTCACGGCTAAGCCCAGGATCAGCCTGACGCTCCCTTGACATTTGGAACCCTAGGACTTGCTGCTGCACCCAGGAGCTGACTGCTTGGGCCAGTGCGTGTTGCAGACAGCCCCTTGCTCACAGTTCCTAATTAAATGTTAGAGTTGGAGTTTGTTGATTCATTGTCATTTATTGGCCCTCTCATGCCTGAGTCAGTGTTCCCGGCAGTGGGGGAGGGTGCAGAGCTAAAGGACACGGCCTGCCCGTGAGAGGCTTACACTTCAGGGGGGAAACACTGACAGGGCATTATTTGAGTGTCCAGCTGCTATTTCTTTCTTAGTTCCAGCCATCGAAAGAAATAGGAACTCTAGTATGGAGTGAAATTTGGCGGGGGGAGGGGGGGGCGGGACACAGGGAACTTATGATGAGTCTTTTATTTTACTTTTTATTTATTTTATTTTTTCATCATCATTTATTCCCTCTATGCCCTCTTCCGCCTTCAGTCCCCATCCACCCTCCCACCCCCCCAACACAATCACCACACTGTTGTCCGTGTCCATGTGATGAGTCTTTTAAATAGTATGGAAGTCCCTATGTTAGAAAACAAAATAATGAAAGGCATCTCTTTTCTCCAGAAAAAAACAGACTTTAGGCCCTGGGTCTTGCCATTTTAATACCTGGGTGGATTTGAGAGTTCACTGAATGTCTCAGAGCCTCGTGTCCGCACCTGTAAAATCAGGATGAGAGAAGGCTTGTGGAAGTGTTTTGTAAACCAGGGAGTTAGACAGATGTTACGTGTTATGTTTGGCCTCTTGTGTGCATCATTCATTCATCACTCAACTATTTAATCACTTATTAAATACCTACTCTGCTGAGCAAGGGAGGGCGCCTATTCTCAAGGAGCTCCTTGTCTAGAGTGGCAGACTCGCCCAGAGATACAAGGCAAGGGCTGCAGCCCAGGGATGTGCGATGTGCAGAGACATGGGGGAGAGAGGGTTAATTCTGTGGGAGGGGTGGGGAGAGGAGGAGGGCTCAGTGTGAGGTGGGGTACCCACAGGAGTGCAGAAGTTATTACAGAAGAAAGTTTCTGGACTGCAGTGTGACCGTGAGCACATTTGGTACGTGGTGATAGTTGCCTATAAGAATGAAGCAATGATATCTTTCTTTTATCTTCTGCCTTTTGTTAAAGTGAGCACTGCTGTGACTATGTTACCGTGTAGCTTGCACCGAAGGGCTGGTGACCCCTGAGCAGTATTCTGCTCCACAGTCAAGTGTTCTTTCTTTGAAGTAAAAAGTAAGTTAGTATTGCAAACCTGAAATTCAGGTTTCCTTGGTGGCAACAGTGACTTTAGATAGATTAGCTCAGAATATAACAGAGAGTGTCAATAGAAAGTAGACAACTTGGAGATGATTGTGGGTCCTTAGCATTTCAGAGTTTTGGTGTGACCTGGTCTTTCATTTCTCTGCTTAACACTTGCTGAAAACAAATTCTTAAAGCCTGAGTTTCTATACAGATGTAAGAACTTATAATAATATATTTTGTAAAGTCTTTGCAAGGACATAAAG